CACTAGAGTTTACTTTGTTAATTTTTTTGCTGTTTACTTTGGAACGCACCTTGTATATATATAAATATTAAAAACCCTACACCCCGCTTAAACTATGCCATTTTGTCAATTTTGTGCACTACATAAATTACCAATCTAGCACTATTTTGTCGAATTGTTTTTTCGGAAACATTAAATTTGCATCCCAAATCTCTGCTTGAAGCATTTGGTTCGCCTTAAATGCTTTTATCACGTTTCTTTGGACTTCCAGGAATTTTGCACTCTTTAGGCGATCAAAATCAGCTGCTTTATCCACAATCAAAGGTATTGTATTTTTTGAGATATGTTTATTTTGCTGGTAAGTGTACAAAATAAGTTCTCGATATATTTTTTCTTTCTGTCAACATTTTTATTAATAACAACGTTTTTAAAACAAATTTGCCCTCGGTACGAAGAACAAAAAACAAAAGACAAAAATCAATCACAATAAATGACAGCACTCATCTTCTAAACATTTCCGAACTTTTTCGCACGGATTCCTTATTAAATTTTCTGTATGAAATTCAACAATATATTTATATCCCAGATTTACCGATATTATGTGTGGTCTACATATTCGGTGCCTGGGGACTTCAAAGGTTATGGTCCAATTTCAGCTAATACTAGATGACATACATAATAGGTGCTTGATTTTATACCGTAAAGTGAAAGATTCACATGGAATTTAAAATTTTTATGTACGGGAAGTAGGCGTGATTGTTTTCCGATTTCGCCAATTATTACGAAATTACGATTATTTTTTGTTGAAATTAGTCAATTAGTTCTTGAGATATAGGTTTTCACCTAAAGGTGGGTGGTGCCATCCCCATTCTTGCATTTTGATACCGACTCATGCAAAGACTTTCCCTACCATCTTGGTTGTGAAATTTAATGTTTGTGATGCATTTACTCTCTGAGTTATCAAGGACCTAGACACCGAATATGTGGACCCCAGTGCATCTGGCTGATTTTTACCTAACATATCGGTCAATCTGTGAGGTCCAGTATTAAAATTCGGGGAGAACATTTTAAGATGTAATGACAGCTTGCTCTTGTGCCAAAAATGTTTAAAAAATCGGCTCATTACTTCTGTTAGCCTTCACATACCTAACATAAACATTTTCGAACTTCCGGTTGATTTACAATAATAACGCAGCTATCGGTCAATACATATGTAAAACATCTTAGTGAAATTCAGAAAGAAGTTTTTACTAGTAAAAATAATAGCGCTTGATTTTGTACGTTATACTTGTATATTGCCCAATGTGTGCAGTATCTTAAGGGGCGGTTACGGTTTTTACTTTCGACTCTTATCTTATTGTACAACAATTCATGAATATGTCTTTAAAATTTTTGGTCGATGGAAGCAATATTTTTAAATTTATTGTTTTATTAATTTCCTGGCCTTTAACGCTTCAACCAATAGTTCATAAACTTTAGACGCGTTTTTCTCAAAACATTTTTTACAAAGTCCGTCTTCACTGTCATTTCAAAATTATTAGACCGATTTATTTCAAACTTTATACATATTTTTGACACATAAAATACCGCCGCCCTACGTTTAGTAAACATTTTTTTTTTACATTAAGGGTGTTTTCCACCTCCAAAATGTCGAAATTTTTAGTGGAAAATAAAAGTTTACACTTTAAATGGCCGCCAAACATTTTTTAATGAAAAAACCAAATTATCAGAGAACGGTCGGGGGATGACTTGATCATAATTTAACAAATGTTTCTTTTTTTTCGGATAATTTCCAGCCGAGTTATGGTGAACACAGCAATTTATTTTTTTCTCAAGACGTTCTGGGGGAAGCTCTGTTACCGGCATATGCTTCAATATTCCAACATAAAAAAATTACCCTATATTGTCGAAAGCATGCTCAATAATGTACAAAAGGTCCGAATAAAATTATTCAATCCATATTTAAGAAAAAAAATTCGCAAATAAAGTCTTTTTTTTTACCTTGAAACCCTTAATGAAATTGACAGAGTTACTATTTCAGGTTTTGATATGTCGTAATACTAAACCTCGATAAAATCGAAAACATTTTGATACAAAATATTCCCTAGCTTATATATATTCCTTATATAAGTAAATTTATAAGAACTATGGAAGAATTTCAAACTTATAATTATATTATAATATTTCGGACATACAAAATGTGGTAATGAAACTAAGTGCGTCTATGACCTAATAAGATAACAAATTTGATTGTCATCCATTCAATTTCTTAGAATAATTCATGCTATATTGTCTCGCAACATATTTTCAAATAAAATTTTGCAACACCTGTATTTCTCCGTCTTTGCTCTTTTCTAATTGCGAGAGTATAAAATGCTCGGTTGCACGCGAACATAGCCCTTCCTACTTGTTTTATATATGGCACATATTCATATATACATTTATATTATATATATTAGTAATAGAGGCGACAACGCGTTGCAGTGGCCATGTACCGGTATGAAGTAAGCGTTAAGATATAATACAAATGTGTTGGTAAGAAACATTTGTTGTGAACGAGCCTTAATTTTTCTGTTTGGTTAGCATGCCATCTGCAAAACAAATTCAATAACCATATAGTGATTGAACAAACAACATCGTATCTTTTCATTGTGTTGAAAAAGTCAAATTTTTTACCGGAAAAACAAACAATTTCAGACCGTTTGAAAGCTATGGGAAAGATCCAAAAATGTGGAAAATGAGTGCTACATATTTTGAATGAAAGACAAATGGAAACCGAAAAAACACTTGCGAAATTTTGCTTCGACACGAAAGAATTTCAATTTTGCATCGAATTGTCACTGACGATGAAAAATTGATTTATTTTAAGAATCCTAAACGGAGAAAATTATGTGTTAATCTGGGACAACCATCAACATCCACTGCAAAAACAGATCGATTCGGCTATGCTCTGTGTTTGGTGGGATCAGAAGGGTTCGGTATATCATGAGATTCTAAAACCTGGTCAAACTGTTAATACTAACAACTACAGACAAGAAATGATTAATTTGAACCATGCCAGAATGGGCCAGAAGACACGGCAAAGAAATTTTGTTACTCGACAATCCGATTACCATTTGTTTTCATCGATGCATTAGCTGAGCACTTCGATTGCTACGCAGAAGTCGAAAATTTGGTGTCCCATTGATTTGCTTCAAAAAAGAAACTTTTCTATTGGCAAAACGCAATGGTCAATACTTTTTTCCCTTCCCATTCAAAATTAGTATTTCATTTTCATACCGGTATACCGGTAGATCAGGGGTGTTGACTTGGCTCCCAATAACATCAAGTGACTCTGTTTAGCTCCGGAAAACATATTTTACAACAAGCACTACTTTTTTTAAGGAGAACACAAAATTATAGTTTTGAGTCGACCTATTTTCTGATACTATGATATCGGAAATATTTTGGTCACTTCCGTTAAGTAGATAAGATTCGATGTATCAGTTTTTTTTGTTCACAATTATTTATATATTTCAATAAATTTTTTTTTACAAATTATATAAAATTGTGCTGTTAGTTGGAAAAAATATTTTGCACACTATTTTTATACAAAAACTATTTAAAGTAAACCATTGATTGTACTAACTACACATGAACTGAAAAACTTAGAGAACCAGTAAACGGACCACTGAGAGAGTTGAGTCGTTCTCCACACGCATACACTCTGAAAAAATAAAACGTGGATGTGTAAGAATACCGACCACTGCGTTAAACAGCTGCACAAGTCGACTTATTGCCAGAGTTGCCACTTGAGACAATCTTTGGGTATCATTAAAGCATTGGGTTTAATTTCACTTTACTTTTGGAAAAATATATATATACAAATAGTCCTCAGAGGTTAATTTAGCTATATATAGCCTGATACTCTCCCCCATTAAATCCACAGCGAACTGGACGAGGAAGTACAGACTGGATCTTAATATTATAGTCGATGAATATAAAATTCTAACTGTCAAAAACCCTACAATTTTAGGCCTAACAATTAATTGTCTGTGCTACAGAGCCGCAACAAAATCGTCAAGTCGATAGCCAGCAGCTCCTGGCAACGGGACAAAGAAACGTTATTGGCAACATACAAGGAAATAGGTCGAGCGGTCATCAACAACGCTGCTTTGATATGGTCGCCTCTATGTAGTGAAACGCAGACGAAAAATCTTCAGACGTATCGGAATACTGCACTTCGAATTATTTCAGGATGCCTCTTGATGCTCCTGTCGAATACCTACATAGTGAGGCCTGCATGCTTCTGGTCAAGAAACACAATGCACTCCTCTCCAAGCCGTTCCTGCTCTGATGATTTCGCAGTAATCGTAGTTGTTATACTATTATCGAGAGTTTCATTTATTTATTTTAAATATTATATGAATTTCAATTATATATCTTACACATTGACCGATATTTTCGGTAAAAAGTCAATTATAGGCACTGGGTCCACATAACATAGAAATGTGAAAAGAATGTAATGTACCGAATTTGGTTGAAATCGGTTAAGCAGATCCCAAGACATGGGTTTTCACCTAAAAGTGGGCAATGCCACACCTACTGTCTAATTTTAAACGCGCTTCCTATAAAGTCATCTCATGCCATCCCAGAGATACAATTTAATGTCTCTTGCGTGTTTGGTGCTTGATTATCGTGCTTTTAGTAGTTTTTAACAGTACCGTTATATGGGGAGTGGACACTGTCGAAAGAGGTGCTAGAAACATTTGTTCTCAGTGAACTCTGTTATTATAGCTTTAGCGGTTAGAAGATATGCACTTTAAACCTATTAGGGGCGGGACCAAGCCCACTTTTTAAAAAATTTTAAACTGTATCTAACGCAATTTGTTTTAGGTGGTACAAACAACCGTTAGGTGAACAAAACTATTATACTCTGTAGCAACAGGTTGCGAGAGTATAAAAAACGTTTCCATAGAGTACTTTATTCGTCAATAATCCACTTATTTTTGTTTAAAAATTGTAATTTATTGACGTTTTTAGCCTTTAGTGCTGCTCTTCTATCTGATAAACGTTCTCTCCAACTCTGTGGAAGTAGCTGGTATCCAAATGTATCGACTGGCACAGAAGCAGAGAGGCATCGAATCATTGCTCTGTAATGGAAATAAAAATATATTCATAAGAGACATTCGGTGCAAAAACTATACATTACATAAACATATGTTTCTATATCTAAAGAAATCTACGTTTTTAAAAGACCTTTTAAAGTAAATACCTTCCAATAGTCCAAAGGTGAACAATCTGGTGAAGCATTTGGTCGCTCGAGATAGTGACGACCTCAATCTGTTTGATGATGTTCAAAAGGGTTAAATGAGTGGTTGCTATTGCGTATTGGATGACGTCGAAGGTTCTATACGCTGAGGTACTGGTTGGATGTTATTCATACCAGCTAATTCATCTTTTGATGCATCAGCGATTGAAGAAGAACAAAAATCTTCTTGTGTTAACCGTGCATCCAAAATAGTGGCCATTTTTGTGACGGTGAAATTAAAAATACGCATTTTTAAGTGCTGTATCAAAAAAAAATTTGACAATACAAACCCATCAGATGTTTTCACCAAAAGTAGTGGAATTATCAAAGAAATGGTGACAGTGCTGCTAGATGAAGTTTGCACAGTAGCATCATGAAAAGGCACAAGGAGTTTGCATAAATCCGTTAAAACCAATACCTCATCCGCAGTGAAAGGTGATGGAGCCTTTGACGTACTAAGTAGTTCTTTTGAAATTTAGTCATTAGTTGCTTAAACACGTTTCACCATAAAATAGGCTCTATGGTTTGGATGGTTCTAACCACCTAATAAAAGTGTATAAAATAGTTATATTTAATATTTTTTTTTATTAATTTAAAAATCGATTTACGTCAAGCCAATGATGATTTTACACCTAATTAATGTGTACAATATAATTCGAAACCACGTGCGCGCAACCAAGGTAAGAATGAAAGGGTTATTTAACACCTATTGAAAGTGTAAAATATAATTTTGTGCTTAACCAAATCAAGGATGAAAGGCATGAATATTTAATTTAATAATTTTTATATTATTTTAACAATATATCTACGTTGTGGTACGTGCGCGCAACAAATCCAAAAATGAAATTTTAAGGCTGCCATGTTATCCATAATTGAATATTTGGTGTTACCAAACTATAGGATTATGTAGCTATATTAAGTAAAATTTTGCAATTTTATGAAGATTGTTTATAGGTCTAGTCAAGACATAAAAAACAAACGATAGCCCAAATAAACTATCGATAGTGAGACCAAAAAAAAACTACTCGACATACCAAATATCAACGGACATTTTTTTTTTGCTTCAAAGGCAAATTAGAAAGTTTAACTTTAGTGAAAATTAAAATTTTAAATATTATTAAAGAAATACAAAAATGTTGATATATTCAAGCATTTCTTTAACTTCATACATTAAATGAAAAAAAGAGGCTCATGGGCAAGTAAATACTTAAGTTATACTTTAAATAATTGTTAATATTATACGTTTCAACTGGATTTTTAACAACAATATAGTACAAAGAACCTCCGCAGTAAGCGAACAAAATGATATCGACGTCAGGTAAATGAAAACTTTAACATTTGCGACATTTCAATTAACAACTTGACAATGTTGTTGTTGTAGAGGTTATCTAGTCCACGCTTAGGTAGTAGGTTTCAAGTTAGTTGTCATCGCAGTCATCTAACCAGTTTTTGGGTAACTGAAGGCAGAATCTCCATTATTCGATTAACACAGCTTTCAAAGATTCTTTGCTGGCTATTTTGTGTCTTCTGATTTATTTTTCTAAATAATCCCACAAATGCTCGATAGGGTTGACATGAGGAGATTGAGCTGGTGTATTAAAATTATTGAAAATTAATTTACGCACACCGGTTAACTTCACGTAGCAATTTCTTTGTGCAAGAAATGTGCGTAAACTTATGAGCATATGAACGCAACCCTGCCAAATGGTCAGCCGATTTTATTGTTAAAAGTGCAAAAGAATGGAAGAGGTAATCATAAAGCTTGAAATTAAAACTTGAATTAATTTCCACTATTACTTGATTTTAGAATTCACAGCAAAAAAAAGAGGAAAATTCATTAACCAACTCACCGGTGGATAGTGCGACTCTGTCGCAGGTGCTTTATTTGCCGATGTGGTGAAAGAGACTTCAAAATCGTTTAAGGTTAGAATTTAAAATAACAATTTTATTTATGTTCATATATTTATTCTAGATGTATCAATGTTTTTCAGAGACCTTTGGGCCGGTTTTACGAGAAATTGCAATTAAGTACTCCGGCACTTCAACAGATCCGGTTGGATTTGGGTGGAGCTTAAGAGCAAGATGCGACACCTGAAAGCATCTTATTTATCCGCAGTGGCCTGGAAAGGCAAAACTGGTGCTGGGCTGCTGTCGAATGATGATGAGGCCAGCGTATCAGCATACTTTAAAAAAATTTGCCCCAATTGGGACTTATTAAATGATATTTTTGGACAACGCAAAAATGTGAATCCAGCTGTAATTTTTGAAAACACCCACGATGTTGATACCCTGGCAGATACTCCTGAAATGTCAAGTTCGCTAACTGAAAGTACCCACTGCTTCGACTCAAGTACCTTCGACTCAAGTAACATTTATGTGTAATATCTAAGATTTCGTTAATTTGAATTTAATTTACTTATGAAAGAAAATATTCTTTCAGTTTTTTTTTTTTTTTTTGAAAAAAAATGACGCGTTTCTTATGCAAAAACATAAATAGTATTCGTTTAAATGAATAAGTTTACCAACCGCATATAAAGGATTTTCAATATGAGTGATATGATTTAAAAAAAAAATACGTTAATTGTTAAGGAAATTCAAATATTTCTTACCGAATGTAAAGTACAATTGATACACTTAAGTTCGAAATCTAACATCATGCAAATGGGCTCTACGACTTCGTTTTGCAGTAACGAATTCGAAGAACCCAATTTTCGAGTACTTTTTCCACTAAATCAAGTCGTACGTCATGAATATCACGTTCAATAATGATTTCCCAAGCTTGAAGAGAGCCTGATTTATTGCTAAAGACCAATGACTTTAAATAACTCCACAAGAAGTAGTCTAATGGTGTTAAGTCATAACTTCTTGGAGGCCATTTGATGTCACAATTTCTGGAAATTATCAAATCTCCAAACTCTTCTCGCAATAATTCGGTTGTTGCACGTGCTGTGTGGCACGTAGCTCCATCTTGATTTCCATACAATTGATTTGTATCTATCTTGATTTTAAAAGCTAAGAGCACTTAATTTTGCAGAACTGTTCTCTAATATGTACCTAACAATAACAGCGAAAATGAAGAAAATCGAACAACTACAAGTATGTTAAATACCTCCCAATGCAACTAATTATTCCAACTTTTTCCGGTATATTGCATTCAATTATAAAGCTAAGAGCCTATAATTTTGCAGAATGGTCTTCTAATATATACTTAACAATAACAATAAAAATACGGAAAATCGATCAACTATAACAGATATAGAATTTTTCAGAAAAGATGGACGACTTTTTTCTTGTCTGCTCGAGTTTTGAATTTAAATTTATAATTCATAATAAGGAAAATATTTTTCGAATGCGGCATCAACTGTAAAAATGTTTATGAAAGGACTAATAAAACTTACTTAGGTTGTGCTTTTTTGTATCAGCGATATATGTTATAAGTAGTTGTCCGATTCCGACAAATGATCACTAAAATGTCAAAATGTACCTATGGATTAAATTTTATGCGGATATATCAAAAACCGACGAAGAAAGTTTTATATTCCCCTAAAATCAACTTAACCTAAACAAGTTAGGAAGTTCTAAGTTCGGGTGTAACCGAACATTTTATACTCTCGCAACTTGCAAGGGTCAAAGCCGGGAAATTACTTCAGGTGTTGGCAAAATTTTATATTAAAGGAAGTATTGATCCGATTCAACCCATTTTTGACACAAAAACATGCTATTATCGTTTCATTAATTTATTTTATTATAAGAATTTCAGTTATATATCTTACACATTGACTGGTATTTTCGGTAAAAAGTCAACTATAGGTACTGGGGTCCACATATTCAGTACATAAGGGCTTGAACAGTTTTGGTTCGATTTAAACAATTTTTGGTCACAAGGTGGCATACTTTAAACGCATTATTGACGCAAAGTTTTGGAATAATGGAAAGTGAAAGAATCAGATAAAATTTAAAATGGTGTTATATGGGAAATAGGCGTGGTTGTAATCCATTTTCGCACTATAACATGGCAATATGACCACGCCCACTGGTTTTTAACAGTATCGTTATGAGGGGAGTGGGCGGAGTTGCCACATGATTTCACCCATTTTCACAGTGACGATAGAAGTTTTGAAAACATTTTTCTTCTGTGAATTTTGCTATTATAGCTTTAGCGGTTTAGGAGATATGCACATTAAACCTATTAGAGGCGGGACCACGCCCACTTTTAAACAAATACTAAACTGCAGTTGCCTTTCCCTAGTGTGATCCTGTATACCAAATAACAGTCTTGTATCTTATTGTGGAGCAGAGTTATGGCAATTTATTTGTTTTTGATTAATGGCGGTATGTGGGCGTGGCAGTAGTCCGATTTCGTGCAGTCTGTCCGTCTGTGCACGCGATGACTTGAGTAAAAATTGAGATATGTTGATGATTGATGATTCTTTCACCTCTCAATATGCAAATCAAAAATCAATTAATTTATGTGCATAAAAATTTGCACTAATACTGCCTTTAAGGTAAAGGTGTGCCACCTGATGACCAAAATTTGTCCAAATCGGATCAAAACTATTCAAGTCCCCAGATACCGAATATGTGGACCCCAGCTCCTATTGCGAACTTTTAATCCAAAATATCGGTCAATCTGTGAGATATATTATAGAAATTCGGAGTAAATCTTTTTCTGATAATAGTATGCCTGAATATAATAGAATACTTTTAATTAATTATTATTTATATTTATATTAATTATACTCTCGCAACCTGTTGCTACAGAGTATAATAGTTTTATTCACCTAACGGTTGTTTGTATCACCTAAAACTAATCGAGTTAGATATAGGGTTATACATATATAAATGATCAGGATGAAGAGACGAGTTGAAATCCGGGTGACTGTCTGTCCGTCCGTCCGTGCAAACTCTAACTTTAGTAAAAATTGAGATATCTTTATGAAACTTGGTTGACATGTTTCTTGGTACCGCGAGACGGTTGGTATTGCAGATGGGCGTAATCGGAACACTGCCACGCCCACAAAACGCCATTAATCAAAAACAAATAAATTGCCATAACTAAGCTCCGCAATAAGATACAAGACTGTTATTTGGTACACAGGATCACTTTAGGGAGGGGCATCTGCAGTTACATTTTTTTTAAAGTGGGCGTGGTCCCGCCTCTAATAGGTTTAATGTGCATATCTCCTAAACCGCTAATGCTTTAATAACAAAATTCACTAGAAGCAAATGTTTTTAGCACTTCTATTCACGGTGTGAAAAAAATTGAAATCGGGTGGCAACTCCGCCCACTCCTCATATAACGGTACTGGTAAAAACTACTAAAAGCGCGATAAATCAAGCACTAAACACGCCAGAGACATTAAA